TCCACAGCGAACTGTCAATGTAGAGATCTATACTCAGCAACTGGAACGTCTAAATCAAGCCCTTCATCAGAAACGCTAGTCAATCGGAAAGGTGTTCTTGTTCTCCACGACAATACAGGTCTACGTGTGGCACGTTTGACGCAACACAAGATTATGGAGTTGGCTTGGGAAGTTCTCCCCCATCCATCATACTCTCCAGAAATGGAATCACCAGATTATCATCTTTTTCGTTCACTGCAACACCCCCTTAATGGGAAAACGGATGCAAATGTTGAAGGTGTTAAAAGAGGACATCGATATGACTTTTGCTTCAAAGCCAAGTGATTTCTTTAATCAGGGCGTTAACAACCAGATTGTAAGATGAAAAAGCATCATCGATAAGAATGGAGACTATTTCATTTAATAAATGTTTTGTTTTGATATATAAGTTGTTCGGGTTTTTTCATCTAAAAAAAAGTGGCATTAATTTCTTGACGACCTAATATTATACACGATTTAAAGAGCGATTTTAGGTTTTGTAAAATATCAACTGAAGAAGTTATTGATCGCTGAGTAAAATGGAATGGTAATTAAGTTGTTTTTTTTCATACCGTCTTTTTCCACGGCACAGGTTGGCCATAAGGTAGAGCTTTGTATTTCGGATCTGGTATGTCAGGTTCGAATTCTTATGATGTCGCAAAATATTCCCCGTATTTTAAAATATGGGTACCTTATAAGAGTGATAGTGAACCCCTGGCGTGATTGGTAGGTGTTAAGATGCTGGTGACTGGCTTTTTTCCTTCTAACCACTAGTTTAAAATTAAAAAAAGATGGTGGCAGATAGCCTTAGCTTTATAAAGAAATTCTTTTTTTTTTCACTTTTTCAAATTTTTTCACTTTCCATTTGTTTTAATGTTTAGATTTTTTTTCCTTCTGGAAGTCAGTTGTGTTACAGCGCGTTTTTTATTTGAAAATAATGTTGGACCAACTATTCTTTTTTGACTGTACTGGGTGACAGGATTCTATTGGAATGTATATATATATATATATATACATCGTCACTCGTTTTGCTTCTGTAAAAGGTGAAATTTATATTTTTATGACTGTTCTTTAGTACTTTTAGAACACCATAAATTATTCTTCTGATATGTTCCAAATTATTAAGGTGTCCTCTAAGTTCTTACGAAACAATTTCCAACGGTTTCTTTCAATTTTCTAGATTGTTTCTTCTATAGATTTTATTGACATATTCGCCATGATGATAGATATGGGGGAACCCATGGGGAAAACCATATTCCTGTTGGTGAATCTTTTTGTCCTGTATGAAGGTCGTCTTTTCTAAACATAATTTGACCTCTTTTAAAATCGCTTCTATGAGAAAAGGAATTGTTTGTTGTTGTTGTTGTTTTTTGGTGTTTTCGTGGTCTTATTTTTCAGTTTTGTTTAAGCAAAATTTCTAAAGTACTTCTGAATAGTGATAAATGTCACAACTGTAGCGTCTATCTTGTGTTTTAATATTTAACGTTATTAGTTTTTTAAAAGTTTAGTAGTGGGATTTCATGTATCATCATACATTTTCCCATCAACAAACACTTGGTTGTGGGTAACCAGACAACCAAATTCAATGTCATTTGGTTGATTCCGTAAATTAATATGGTATTTTCAAATAAAATGAAAAATTTATGCTTAGCATATTAACCAATCAGACTTATAATTAGATCGTTGATTCATACTTTCATACAGTGTTACTTTCCCCTACCTTTTTCATTGGGACGACTTTTTATTGTTGTAAAGAATATGACTGATACTTTCATACAGTGCTACTTTCCCTTAGCTTTTTTTTTGGGATGACTTTTTATAGTTCTAAAGAATATGACTGATACTTTCATACAGTGTTACATTCCTTTAGCTTTTTTCTTTGTAATGACTTTTAATTGTTGTAAAGAATATGACTCATACGTTCATACAGTGCTACTTTCCCTTCGCTTTTTTTTTGGGATGGCTTTTAATTGTTCTAAAGAACATTATTCATACTTTTTAGTTCCTGCGCGTATTGCTTCTTTTTCTGAAAATATTTTGGTAACCAAAGAATCGAGCGTGGAGCTTCCTTGTCAAGCAGTCGGAATTCCAGATCCTGATCGGAAGTGGAGTTTCAGGTAAAGTTTAGTAATACATAAAACGCTAATAAGATGAAATAGAATTTTTCAGCGATAAAATCTATTATTCGTTAAATTCTATTGAAAGAGGCAAAATGGTAAATGATTTGTATATCATTCGAAATCATACCACCCCTTGTTTGCAGGCGACATCTTTCATTTGTACTTTAAACACCCTGCATGTGGTATTTTAAAGATGGAGGAATTTTAAGTGTTTTGTCGTTTAAACTGGAACTTGATTACGAAACAAATTTATTATTAAGTTTGGTTATTTTGAAATGATATTTTCATATCTCATTCTCACATTCTTCCCCCGAAAACTGCATTATGTTTATATGTTATTTTTTAGAGGCCAACCAATCGTGGAACGAGGTAGTAGAGTTCGTATTCTATTAAATGGTTCTTTGTACATTCCACACGTTCAAGATGGCGACGCTGGTAACTATACATGCCGTGTGCAAAACAGTTATGGAGCAGACGAGATAGGTTTTGGTATTATCGTTAAAGGTTAGTTTAAATAATATTTAATATTTTGAAATGTAGAACATGTTCAACTTTATTGTTAAATATGCAAATTACTACTCCTTTACCACCCAATTCAATTACTCTGGTGTAGTTGACAGTCATAAAGAATAAAGAAGCCATAACTTATAACTTTTTTATTCAATCGATATTTGGTACTGTCAGTATAAACACATGTTTTCATCGCTGTATGTTTTGTCAGTTTTATAAGAAAATTTTTTTCGGAGATCTTTAAATGTAGAATATTTCCTATTGGGACAACTAGTACTGATTAACAGATACCCAGTTATGCCTGTACTATAGTTCTAAAACTCTACTATTTTCCTTTCTTATCAAGGTGTGTTTCAGGCTCCAAATCTAACAGTAATCGCTGTTACAACGTCAACAATACAAGTTAAATGGGAGATAGATACACGTCCTCATTACAATGTCAAAGGTAATGAACTATCTTACGCTTCAAACCAGTTTCTTAGTGATAACGTTTAAACATGTCTGTAAATAACGATAAAAGGCATCGCACTTTGTTTCAGTAATATAACTAATAATTCACCAAAATGGTGAAACATTTTGGGTTTTATGCTAACAGCATCACATTTTGCATATACCTAGAGTTTGGCCAACTTTACAATATTAGATATAGACCTAATTGAAATGTTTCAACTGGCCGCCTCAGGATCCAGACTTTTAATGATGTTCTGCTTGCAAATCCCATATTGATCACTGTATTTGGTTAAAATGTGCACATAAGTAGTACATAAACCACTGATTAAAATATTATATTGTCGTTTTTAATTGGTTTTTTGAATAGCCAATATTTTCAAGATGGCTGCGACGTATCTGAAAAATAATGATTATTATCAATAATTAATAAGAACTATCCGTATTTCGCATAATTATTGCTCCAGAATTGCACAGAGAGTAAATAAACTAGCTACAATGTATCTTTCTGTGACTCTGACTCTCTTTTGAAAATCCCAAAATTTCACATGTGACCCTATGGTAGTAATTATTCCCTGTGGTTTTTACTCCATATTTGAAAAGCAAATTCACATACTTGACTGGTTATTGTGACTGATTGATAAACAGTATTTTTTTATTCGGGAACAGAGTTTGTCTTTATGTACAATATTTCAAGTGTAATTATAAAATTCCATGTTTTGTTCTGTCAGTGCTTATTCACGTTTACAATCTCCTTGATATCTGCAAAGTGCTTTACAGAACACCTCTGTTCTTTTAGTATGTTGAAGTAACCTGCAACAGTTGGAGGAATTTCAGCAACTGATCTGCCTTTGTTTGTAAGGAGTTCCTTCGAGCCTCACTGAAACTTGTGTATGTGCTTCCTCTGTCATACATCAGTATCACATACTTTCTAGTTGAGGCATCACCTCCTACTTACTAACTTTGAATACAATCCACAATTGAACCATGTTGGTGTTAGCCATTGGGATGATCCAACAGACGAACCTGATTGAACTGTGGATTGCATTTGGAGTAGCTAAAGCACCTCCCTGTACATACCATTTCCCAATTATTTGGCCCAGAGAAAGCAAGTTCTCTACTTGCAATTCATGTCTTTACTGGTTATAACCAGACATCTGCATTTGCAAGCAGAGGAAAGAAAACTAGACAGGAAACGTGGAAAGTGTTTGAAGACACTACACCCACTTTTGAAGCTCTGAGCAAAATCCCTAGGCAATAGATCAAAAGGGATATTATGCTTTTATTAGAAAGGTAACTCATACTGATGTATAATAGATAAAACACATACATACGTTTAAATGAGGCTCGCAAGAAACTCTTTACAAACAAAGTCAGATCAATGGAAGCAATTCCTCAAACTTTTGCAGCCTTACTTCAACACACTAAAACAGCTACATACCAGGTTGGAGACTGTTGGGGATAGACATTAGCGCCTTCTCCTCAGATGCATTTTTCAGATGAATGGAGATAAATGAGAGGACCTACATAGAGCCTTCTTGGACTACATTTCCACAAGCATTCGAATCATACCTCGAGCTTTTAAAGTGTGGATGTAAAGTAGATAAGGGGTTTAGGGAGCACTGTAAATCTGTGAAAGCAGAGGTGTAGTACACAACATTGTCCAAATGTCGAGGAGATTGTGAACATGAATAAGCATTGAAAGAACAAAATATAATGGCATTTCATAAAAAGACAAATTCTGTTTCTGAATAAAAAATTTTATTTGTCAATCAGTGGCAATGGGTAGTCAGGTACTATGAATTTTGTTAAAAAGTAAGGGGTAAAAGCCACAGGGGACAATTACTAGAAGGGCGCATGTGAGATTTTGAGATATTCAAAATAGAGTCAAATGGAAGAAATATAAACTGTAGATTTCTTATTTACTCCCTGTGAAGATCTGAAGAAAAAAAAAGAAATATAAGTAGTGTTTACTAATTACAGACAATAATCATTATTTTCCAGATCAGCAGTGTCCATATTGAAAATATTGTCCGCTTAGAAAAATAATAAAATATGCCAAATTTAACCAAAACTGGTAATCAATATGAAATTTATGAACCAAACATCAATAAAAGTCTGTTTAATTAGAGGGTTAATATTTCTTACTGTCCCCAGATAGGACAGCGGTAAAGCTATAGAATCAGAACTCTAAAATCCGTGGTTCGATTCTCTATGGTGGACACACAATGTAGTTTTTCTCTAGAACAAACAAACAAATAAACAATTCTTTTACTATTTACTGCACGATTTTCTTATTTATTATTATTCATATTTATAAACATTAGTTTTTCGCTATACTATCTACGTCCCCGGGTGGGACAGCGATAAGTTTTCGGATTTACAACACTAAAATCAGGGGTTCGATTCCCCTCGGTAGACACAGCAGATTGCCCAATGTGGCTTTGCTATAACAAACACACACACATTACTATCTATACTGTCCTGCTACCCGACTCTGCACTTGAACAATAACATGTGTTGTTGTAATTTATCTCAGACATTAAGCTACTCAAAAGTTACACTGTCAGAGCCGCCTAATTGGGTTTTATTTTATAAAAATTAATAATAATAAATAACAAAATTGTTGATAACTACGCGTTGTTAAAGAAGATTACATTAAACTTTGCGTTTATTGGTGTCACGCCTTTCAAGGGATAGGTAATCAGTGAAAGAACATGAAACAAACAACTGGTATTTGTGTTTTGCATATAAGTTATATTGTATTCCATCTTTAATATTAGTTTCATTAACAGTATTGTTTAATTTCATTAATATTTACAATTTATCATTTTTCATGTTTTGTCTTTTTTGTTATGAGGATCGTTTTGCATTGTTAGCTTAGTACATGAAATTAGGATTAATATAAACCTCTTCAGCTTGCCGAAGCTAGTGAGATATTACTAGGATTACAGTAAAAAAAATATCACTAATAGCAAGGGTTCCCAATAGATGAATCAAGTATTAAAGATATAACAATTTAACTATGTTAATTACTGAGTTAATTTTAGGTTCTGATCAAAAGGTAATGATAATAATTCTATCTCTGTTAGAGTTTTAATTTACTATGTATGTGGTGCGTCCTTATAAAGCTTTATTTTATTTCCATGTGGTTTAAAAGTAAAAATTGATCTCAGTAATAACAAGGAGCGTAAAGTGAATACGATTATAAAACTTATGTTACAACATATCAAATATTTTGTGGAAAATATCATAATTATTACTGTTTTCTGCTTATAATCAAACAAAGTATTACTCTTTTAAGGTTACCTACTGAGCTACAGGCGACAATATGCGAGTTGGGAGGAGGTAGAAATAAGGTCAGATAGAAAAACAGCAACACTAAAAAATCTCAAATGTGGAACAAGGTACCTTCTACGTATAGCAGCATTCAGTCACACCAGTACAGGAGAGTATAGCAAGCCTATTTATGGTCGAACAGAAGGAAAATGTAAGACTTGATAATCCATCTATCTATCTGTCTGTCTAGCTATCTGTCTGTCTATCAGGTGTTCACAAATTATGGGTCCTTCTTCTACGACCGATGGTGTTCTAGTTGTGAATTACTGTTCTGCATTACAGTTTCCGCTGAAGGAGACTTGCGTGCAATACACTGAGATTAACATTGTTTCCAATTTCTTTTAAAAATCCATCAGCCATTGTATACTTCACGTACTATATAATCCAAACTTTATGTGAATCACTCTCCCTTACAGCTAAGCCCGTTGAACCTGGTGTTGGTTTGGTACGACTGTTTTTTTTAATCGCACAATGTACTAATTTCGTCATTATATTCGCTCGAACCTCAGTACTTCAAGGTAAGAACAAACCACTAAATTATCACTTTAACTTCTCAAACACAAAACTATATTATATTTTCATTATACTCTCCAGCCTTCTGACAGTACCTTATTTTACTTATATTGTTAGAGCTACTGAGGATTTAAAATATAACTTAAAAGAAAGAGTAAAACGCGTTCTTGTATGTTAAACTGAAAACACATACAAAATAAATGAACATCAACAACATAAACTCCTAAGCGTTGTTGTCATTAATTGGATGCCATTATACACGAAATATTTCCCCTTTACTTACAAGTTACAACAAGGTATTTGAACAGTAAGAGAGTGGGGATTGTTTCTATAAGGTCACATAAGAAACTACTGTTTAAAAATTCATGCGTCTAAACATATTATGCTTACAATAAAAGAGTTCTCGTTCTCGTATCAAAATTATACGCATAAATATATATCATACCTATATCGTTTTGCAGATAGCTTTGATATACGGAAACATCTGTTAGCTGAGTTCTTACACAGATCTTAAAATATAACGTTCACAAATGGAAACATCGGATCATGCAACTATATCGTCTTACATAACGAGTTGGTAATGTAACGATGCTTTTAGATTAATTCATAAAAAGGCCCCTTATTTCTATTTGCTATGAAAAATATCCAATTCGCAACACTAACTTTATTAATAAGTTTTTAGAAACTAAATATTTGAAAAAATGGAAAGTTCTATTTGCTTTTTCAATCTTTAAACGCCATTCTTAAACAAACCGTGAATAATATGGGTTCACATTAGCTGTATACTATATCAATGGAAGCATTATGGGATGATTATTAAATAATACGGACTCACCCTAGCTGTATACTATATCAATGGAAGCATTATGGGGTGATTATTAAATAATACGGACTCACCCTAGCCGTATACTATGTCAATAAAAGCATTATGGGATGATTATTAAATAATACGGACTCACCCTAGCCGTATACTATGTCAATAAAAGTATTATGGAATGGTTATTAAATAATACGGACTTACCCTAGCTATACTATATCAGTGGAAGCAAGATATATTTTCAAGAGTTCTCGTAAGAAACGGGTTTGTCAGTCCAATACGAACAATAACAACAAAATAACTTTTCAAGAGTTCTCGTAAGAAATGGGTTTGTCTGTTAAATTTCACACAAAGCTACTTTAGTGGTATCCACATTAACCGTCCCTAATTTTCAAGTGAAACCTTCGAGAGAAGACAGCTAGTCAACTCATCGCTAACTCGTGAGTGCTGTAATCCAAAGTGCGGAGCGCAGTTTTTGTTTTTGTCGGTAAATGGGCGCGTACCATGCAAACTTGGATCGTTAAATAAAGGGATGAAGTAAAGCAGTTGTTATTTAATTATGTTATGATATCAACGTTTCAAACTCTTGTTGTAATATGAAAGTTTCAGTGTTTTTATTGTTATAGTTCCAGTGTTGTTACTTGGAAACTTAACACTGTGTGTCTATGGAAGCTGCATTCCCGCCTTAGCATATGAGAATAAAGTTTCTTATAATGTCTTATAAATGACATTACTTAAATCTTCAGTTACATTTTCAGTTAGTATTATATATCAACTTTTGGTGTATGATTAAAAACAACGAAACTTGAAAATTTACTTTGAGCTACTGTGTTCCTTGAAAAATATCCGTTTCCTAATAAAGGTATTAAACCAGCAAAACTAATCTACAAATACTTGGATGTTTTGTGCTCCTAACGTATTGTTTGAACTTGAATGTTATGTGCTACTAATATATAAATTCAGCTTAGATGTTTTGAACTGATTTATGGATTCAGATTGAATATTTTGTGATACTGACACATATGTTCAACTCGGATACTCTATGATACTGATATGTGGATTGAACTTGGAAGTTTTGTGGTACTGAAATATAACAGTTTGGATGTTTGTTGTTACTAACATATACAGTCTTGGTTAAAATGTTTGCATATTTTGTAACAAGTAAGATTATTATTATTAAGATGGATTGCAAATACACTTAGCGCTATCAAAACTGAGAAATGCATGTTATATTAAACATCTACAAATGAGATTATATAATGTATAATGAGACAGGTTCCGTGGACATCAGGAACGATTTATTATAATAGCAAACAATTTTATCAGACACCTGTAGAAAGATGTGTAATTCATCATTTCACCTATCACAACAAAACATATATAATGATAAAATATAACATCAAATTATCATAAGTAGCATGTGTAACCTTATATAAGTTCACATTAAATATTCAATACTTGGTTGGTCCTCTTCATACTCTAATAACCTCCGCAAGGCGACGTGGCATGCTGTCAATGATGTTATTGATGTAATCTACCATGATTTCATCCCAACTTTTCACTAGAAGACATTGCAACTCAGCTACATTAGCTGGTTTAGGGTCGTGGTTAGCAATTTTCGGCTCAGTTCTGCCCAACAGCTTTAAATGAGATTACAATCTGGAGACATTGTTGGTCATGAGAATCTTGTAATGTCTTCCTGGTCGAGATCATCCTGTACAATACGTGCACTGTAAGCTGTGGCATTGTCATCCTGGAACACAAAGTTATTGCCAAACCTTGTCCTATCATATGGCAGAAATATCGTCTCCATTTGATGCCTGTAGGAGGCTCCATTGACGTTTCCATGGAGGATATGAATAGCAGTTTTTCCACCATGATGAATAGCTGCTCAAACATGTACTGCACCACCTCCTGTGTGTTCCCTGAACTCATATGAAAAGATGACATGTCGGTAATATAGTAAAAGTTTGCGGCCCGTGACGACTTACCAAAATTCGTGGAGTTGCGCCTTGCGAAAATTATTGACCACCACTGAGATAGACAATAACATCAATATAGAACAGTATGCAAACATTTTGGCTAAGATTGTATGTCCAACTTGGATGCTCTATGATATTTATATATGGATTCAACTTGGAGTTGTTTGTGGTAATGAAATATTGACTCAACTTGAATGCTCTATGGTACTGATATATAGATTAAGCTTGGATATTTTATCTTATGAGAACAGTTGTGTCTCTCCTCTGAGTATTGGTTGTGCGTTGGTGAATATATGAATAGATTGACTGAACAAAACATTAACTTTTAAATAACATATCTAGGCATTTTGTACTTGGAATGTTTTATTAATGCCCTATTTCAATTATTTGTACTATCTTCTATCTTAAGTCTAATTTGAACCTTATACCTGTTTACACCCCCCAAAATTTAGGTCTAAAATCTAATTTCAAGTTTCGTGTTAAACTGTATTCTATATTCCTAATATATATAGCTATCTTATCCAGCTGAGTATTAAAACAGGGGTACAGGCGTTCTTCACATATGCGCTATACATATTAAGCCATATCGGTATGGTAACTATCCAGTATCAAGGATGTATCTCCTAAACGAGTTGACCGATCCAAACCAAACATGCCATGCTAACTTAGTAGTCCAAAAGCAAGCAAATTGTTATCAAACTTTCTCATATCTATTTAATTTACAGCTCAATTATGTTATACCTACACTTAACGTCTATAGTTATGTGTATTTCTCCTTCTTACTTCTCATTTGTTTCAATCTCTTTTATACAATTTTTAAAATATGAGATAAATCAACAGACTCATTATGTCAATATTAGTTTAAGTTTATTCAGTACTCATTTCTAAGTCTTACTTTGAAACCATGTGCATATAGATCCATTAAGCTAAATCAAAATTTAACTTATTTCTGTGTTCCTAACCCTATAATATTTCATCTAAACTTATATGTGTACTTCACTATACTTTAATATTCTTGTTTCATAAACCTAAAACCATTCTTTTCATTATTGTTTTTCAGAATTTGTAGTGCATACTGGAGGGATTTGGACATTTTAGCAATAAAGTTAAAAAATACATTTACTGTCGAGAAAATAATAAAAAAAACTTTTTATTATTATCTGGAGAGTAAAGGTAATTTTTTTCTAATTTTATTCCCAAAATTATTTCATTATATTAAGCTTAATGAAACTGTTATTGTGGGCCTAGATCTACTGTGCAAAATGTTTCCTTTCTTTTTGTTATTATTTATCTATAACCACGTACTAAGCCTAACCTCAGATTTACTTGTATTTACAGCTCCACAAGCCCCGGCCAAAACAACTTTTATCACAGCTAATTCCACTTTTCTTATTCTTCATAAGAATGCTTGGAATGATGGACATTGTCCAATTAGATCTTTTATCGTTCGGTATAAACGTTTTTTTGCTACTGATTGGACGTTAACAAACAGTGATACCAAATCCCATGTGATAATTCGAAATCTTTCTCCCGGCACGTGGTATAAGGTATGGGTGACGTCACATAATGATGCTGGTTCAACAGTAGCAGAATATCAAGTTGCAACACTAAAACTTGATGGTGGTAAATATCGTTTACTTTACAAATTTATATTATAAGACAAATATTCAGTTTATCGTTTCAGTATTTAATACATAAATATCACATCATAGAAAACGCGATCTCATCTACACTTCGAAAATAAATGAAAACAGGGTTTTAATGAAACTATAACAACTAGCAGAAACGTTGCCCTACGGCCGGCTGTTTGTCCTGGCAATTTCTAATCGCAATATTCATACCTGACTGAAAAAAAAAAAAAAATAGAAAAGTGAACATTTTCTAAAACAAAAGATTGTTCTGGGAAGTACTGCACGGGAAAGTGTTCTGATTGTGCTGGTATAAACTGTAATGTTTTTATATATTAAACGGGGTTCCGTTTATTGAAAAAAAAATAACAGTTTTTTTTAAGAACTTCATTTTTAGTACTATATTTACCATCAATAAAGGTATAATCAAACTCTCAAGTGCAGTCCTAGTG